CCCAGTCTTTGAAACTGTAGCTCTATTGTAAATTATAATACTGGGAGCTATCCATTTGTAGTATTAAAGTTATTAAGCAACTAGGCTGGAGTCTTGGTCTACTGCATCTCTGGTAAAGTAGGCTCTCTTTCAAAAGAAAAATCGTAAAACTTTAAAAGGCACCCTGCTTAATGCAACTACTAAAAAAATACTTATGTTTTAAATTTTTTTTACATTTCTATTACTGAGTTTTAACCTCATACATGGAGTAGTTTCTGGATCCCTAAAATTCCCAAACCAATCTTTAACACACTAACTTAGGCTTTTATAGAGCATTTGTCAGCATGAAGGAATCAGCTTAAATATCCTGGCTTACCATCTGGTTTTCATACTCAACATGTCTCAAGGGCAGTAAGGTTCATAGGACAAGGTAATAATTTTTATTAGACCAGAAGATACATCTGTGGGTAGAGGGGGAGGAAATAATACATACATTTGTTGTCAAAATATAAAAGTCATAGCAGCTTCTCCAACTCATACCCTACCACATGAGACAGCAACATCTAGACAGGGATCCAGAAGTAAAATTCGTGTTAAAGAACAGAACTAAACCATAAATGCTAAATAAATGTAACTAGTTATCTTATGCAGTCATTATTATTGACAGATTAATTTCAATGAAGAAAAATGCCTAGAGTTCTGCTTTTCTGCTGTTCACATGAGATCCATCCACAGCACATTTCTGAGCAGTTTTAGGTAAGTTGAAGCATCTGAATCTCCGCTCTAAGCCCAAATCATGAACACTGGGAAACAGACCAGCAGATTCACAGATTTTTAAGAAGAGGAACTGTTAGGATCCGAGAGCTCTTCCAGTGAGTCTTGACAAGTCTTGCACATACAGAAAAATTCAGGCTTCAGGTATGGAACGTTATACTATACTGTATGCATTGTAGATCTTAAAAACCACCATTTCTGTTGCTTCCCAGACCTGCATCAGGTCTACAGCAGCTGGACCCTCCTGCATCTGCTTATCCATATTTTGGAAGAAATCTGGGTGTGATCTATATCCTAGTGTAGTTTTAAACAAAGTCCATCTGACCATGTTCACATGCAGATGAGTTCCTCCTGGGAAACAGTTACATTAGCTGCCAGGATTCCTGTCGTTCCAGCAGGGATGAAGGACAAACAAAATCCTCCAAATATATTAAAGCAGAATATTCTAAGACAAAAAGAAAAGGCCAAGAAATTGAAGGCATTTATAGTCAGGGAGAACTTGGCCCATACAATGCTCCAAAATCTTGAAATTAGCAATAGAAAACATCTATTTAGCATTTTAAGACTGGCCCATGATACTGTCTCTACTGCCAGAAGCTCTGTCCTCCAGAGATTAAGATTTTGAAGAAATCCTGAAATTACTATTGGAAGGAGATTAGAATCTCCTTCATGAGCAGGAGAATAGCTTGTATCTATGTTACAGGAAGAGCCAGGAAAAACAAAAACAGGAACTCCAAAGCTAATCCTTGATCTCCCAGAGGATTGCTAACTATACTCATTTATAAATTAACAGGCAGCCAGACTCTCTGTAATTGCTTCCCCTTCTCAGACAGAGGTTTCTTCCACGAGATCCATAAAGGTCCACACTGCAGAGAAGCAGCAGGAGCCAACCCTCCAGGTTCAAACTCTGGCTCTGACCATGCATCCTTCCCATCCCTGTAGTATTACCTCTCCTTAGTGTCCTGTTATTTCCTTAACACGTACACCATGTTCCACTATTAAGAGATTACTCAACAGCAAAGCCATCTTTTTAGTCTCTTGCCCACTTACTTCCTCTCATCACTACTCCTCTCCTTCTCTTCCTTCCAATCTCCTTTTTGTTTTTAAATTCTCAACAGTTCATCCATTAGTCTTGCTCCCACGTCAGTTTGCCACAGCATTACTTAACATACCTTCAAGTTCCATCTTCAAAATACATCAATTTCTAAAGATATTTTTAACGAATACTTGAGAATTTAAGGTATTAAAGCGTACCAAATCCTGTAAAAGACACAGGACCATCTACATTCGCTGATGTCCTTATTACAACAACCTTCAGGACTTGACCTTGACAACATGTTACTAAAAAGGCCCAAAGATTTCATGGAGAAGGAGTGTCTAATAAAGACAAAATTAAAAGAGATGTCTGATGAGAACTGGGTGGAAGGTTGCAGGGAATTAAAAATATTAAAGATAAAGAAAACATTGTAAGATAAAGAAGAGCCAGGAAGCTTCAGAGATAGCAGAAAGGAGAAAGTAAGCAGGAAGCAAGCAAGATACCAACTTGCTTTTTTAAAAAGGACTTTCTCTCAATCACAAATGGCTTTAGAAAGCCATTATCAATAGCTAAGAGACACCTTTGAGACCTTTAAACATTTTTACATATGCAGTGACCTGCTGCTGACTCCATATGTAAGGGAACTGCTGGAGTCAAGCTCACGTAGGAGGACACAAATGAGTGGTGAGTTAATTCAGAGGAAACAGAAGTCTGGAAAGGACACAGAAAGGGACCAAGAGACTTGCCAGAGAATTGGGAGTCACAAAGGTATAACAGACTTTTGAAACCTGAGTGTACAGGCCTGGAGGCAAGAGTACGTATCACATCATGTAACAGGAAAGATGTTAAAAAAGTGGAAGGAGTCAGGAAGGCACAGAGGGCTGGAAAACATCTGCTGATCTCTCCCAACACCCATACCGCAGCCTTCTCCATGACTTGGATGAAGGCCTGTTTTTATAAATACCCAATAAAAACACATCTACAGTGGAGTGCAGAAGCACCTGTGGCACTGCATGGAACTGTCCTGACAGTGCATCTTGGATCTTGAGAGCAGTACCACTCCCTTAGCTTCATACCATACCCTGAGGCACCCTTCGCTGAGACTCCAGGTGACAGCAAGGCAGCTGCACCACTGTGGTTCCACACGGCCTGATGGGCATGGCTGAACACCACAGAGACGCTAGTAAAAACACCCACCCATATTTGAAAAGTATATAATTAATTGTATGAATTATTTCAAACAACCTTTCAAAGTTATATATTTATACAAGAGGTGTGCCCTGGACCCACTCAGAGCTCAGCTGTGACAGGTGCTGTGCTAATACATAATTTTATTACTGCTTATTATCATGTGCGTCAAGTCTGGGTCATGTGAAGCTGTGCCAGTACTGAGTTTTTCTTGCAGCAAAGTCTCAGAAGATTACAAAAACATTTTTATGAATGAGAACTATTTCATAATATAAACCCTCATACATACATGGGAGCATTTGTTTACAACCAGCTTGCCAAAGACTGACAAACGTATACTGTGCCTTACAGAAAAGATGTTCCAGCAGCATCACATGTCATTTTTTGCTAGTAAGTAGTATGAGCATACTGGAATAGAAAACATCATTATATACTTCAAGACATTTTCAATACCATTCTTAAAACTTGAGCACAAATACTATGGAAAAAACTATGGAGACAGTACCATTTGTGAAGAGAGGTGGATAAAGGGAAATGAAAAGCTAAGTCAAACTTGGTCTCTGTACAGTGTCAGCGATCAGAACTTGGAGAAGAGGAAGAGTGAAATGCTGCCCTTTTCCCCAGCCAGAGCTCCTCTGCGATGCCCTGTTCTGCAGCAAGCCCGGGATAATATACTTACAGCAGTCTTAGCTTGCTGTATGCGGCGGTCAGGGTAGTGTGTCTGTAACATTAGTGCATGCACAGAATACAACTGTAGAAGTTGGACTGTACAAGACTTAGTTCAGAGAGGACTTCTCTGTCAACATCCACGTTTCTATTTACTCAACTTTTGTATCTTTATGGAAAGATCAGATAAACTACATAAGCATACACACCGGCACACATAAAACTTGAAAACTGCAGTTCTAGCCTTGTTATTAGAACAGAGTTACGTTCCTGGAAAAAAATATGAACTCAGCATTGAACTCCTAAACAAATACCCATTTCTATCCAAATTATGCATAACCAAAAGGATGAAATGTTCTCCTTAAGCTAAGTAACAGTGAAATTAAGGTTTAGCAGTGTAACTGAAATTTCCATGCCCTGGAGGGATATCACTTGTGTTCAGAGGTGACACACTATTTTTAGGACCATGACATAAGCTGCATTACTTCTAGTACGTTTTGATCGAATTTTCAGAGTTGAAAACCATTTGCTGCTCACATCTAGTACAACTGCTGCTCTAAATGCTCAACAATGTTACGGGTCAGTTCCCTCAGATTTATTTTGAGAAAAACTTCAGTTAAAAGTTTCAGCATGGAATCTACATAATCTTGAATTTGCATTTGGTAGGAGAAAAAATCATCTCTCTTCAATCTCTAGTTACATGCCTCTATTATGACCTATTCTAAACTTATCTCCTGGCATAGCAAACGGAATTTCACTAAATGCATAGATAGATATTGGACACCTTGTTTCCACTTTGAGCTCAGTATGGAAGGTAACACTTACCCCTAGTAGTATGACATTAAATCTAAAGTAAGTTTTGTATTTCCATTCCATGTTTTACTTCCTCACGCCCCTTTCTCTCCACCTACCCGTCTCCCAGAGAACAGCAGAGGCCTATGCCTCTTGCTGAGTAGCCTATTCCGACAGCTGAGCCACAGGAGGGTGCAGCACTGCACAGATGGAAGGGAACAGAGTGTGTAGAGAACCTGCCAGCTAATGGAAAAAATATTTTAGATCACGCTGTTTTATTAAACCCAGAGAAACAAAAAAGGCCTGTGGTATTTCAAGTGGCTATTCAGAGAAAACCATTTCCTAAAAAATATGGCGTACCAAAGAACTAACACATACTATTACTAGTCCCAAAACATTCTTATTCAAAAATCTCAGACTTGTTAAGTGATTACTTGAATAGCTATCAACTTAATTACTAATTTTAATTTTTAGATAAGTATAGAAGATTTTATAGTCAGTAACTATATGACTTGCTGTTGACACAGATTGCTTAAATTTTAAGGAAAAAAAAAAAAATACTTACTACAGTGGGGTTACCGCTGCTGATCAACTGGCTGACTTCATGAAAAATGCTTTTGCAGTCGATTGATTTGTCTAATGATCCCCGTTTCACTATCACCGCTACTGCTAACAGAATCTGCTCCCGAACGTACTTTTGGAGGCTGTAAACAACATTGCAAAAATACCTTTTCAAATAATTTTGAACATCAGTGCTCAATAAAATTTTAAACTCATTTCTTTTTCAAAGATTTTGCGTGAATTCATAAGGGAAAGCTGACAACTCTACAGAAGTCAGCTGAGTGCTAGAATGGAAGATAAATTATTGTTGAAATGTTCTACCACTACCCTTGGAAATAAAAGGATCACCCAGACTTTACACAGAATCCTACATGTTCAGAGGGTTTTTTTCTATACTTACTTAGGCCTTTGTAAGACATAGGTTAGAAGGAATGTTCGCAGTGACTCAATGCTAGTTTTTTCCAAGAGAATCCATTCTCTTACAACTGCTTCCATTATTGCTGTAGCAGCTTGAAAAAGTACATAGTCCACTTTACTAGTTTCTGCAGGGAAAAACAAAGGCAATTAGAGCATTAGAAGGCATACAAGTATTTATCTTGTGTGTATTTCTAAGAAAAAAAAAATTAATGGAATTTACTATTATTTAATTTATTACTAAATGGAATTTAAACTGTACAAAGCTCATATAAAGAGAATGCCATTAATAAAAGAAGATGGAATTTCTCCTTTGCGTCAAGTACCACAGATGCACAACTGCAATCATTAACAGCACAAACATCCAGCACTCACTGTAAGCTTATAACTAGTCAGAGCACCATTATCCTCTACAGGAAGTTACTAAAGAAAGACAGGACAAGTTTTTCTAGTACGTTTAAGAGCTATAAGCTTACACCAGAAGAACGTAGAGCCTCATGCTTCCTGGGTTCAACTCCAGGTTTCTAAAGAAACTGGATGGTATTGGCTGTTCCTCTTTTCCTCATGCTCATCATCTCTGCTGCTCTCCCTGTATCACTCGTACAGCTTTCTTTCCATGAACACCATCAACGTCCTTGTTATCGCTCTCCATCTCCACTCCAGTTCCTGTCTTGACTATTTTTTTTTCTGTTTCTTTTTAAACCCATCTATTCTGGTCCTCTGGTTCCTGCCCATCCTTACCTGCACATATCCCTTCAGTATACTTTTATTCTTCATTATGAACAGCTTGTTTCCCTTCCCAGTTCCCGACTTAATAATCCCTACCTCTCCCTTCTCACCTCTCAAGTGTTAACCAGCTGTTCTTTCTATCCAGACACTATAAGCACTTACTCAAGAAGCACAAAGTTTTAGGAAAAGTCTCTCAGTTCCAGGTCTCAGCATCACAACTGACTACTGGAGAAGCCATTGCCAGGAAAAACCTGACCCATGTGGAAACATGTTGGTTTCTCAATGGTGATAGCACATGAACAGTTTAAGGATGTAATACTTCCAAAGATCCAAAAGGTGTTAAAACCAGGATGCACGTTCTTTCCAACCAGTCACATTGCAGAAGGAAAAAGAAAATGAAAAATTTCTGCAGTGATATTTAATTATTAATGCTATTAATGTATTCCTGTAAGAAAAAGATGCAGTAATATATCCCTTAGCACAGACAGTACTGCTAAGTATTTAATACATTTCCATTATTTACTTCTGAGCAGTGACAAATATATCACTTGTGATCTTTTGAGGTCCCTTCCAATCCATTCTGTGATTCTGTGATTATGAGAGATCAAAATGTTTTGCAAACAAAGTTAATTGTGTTCTTTTCCTATCAATGTGAAAATAAAAAGCATCAGTGTTGCTGACCAATAAAGCAAGAAGTGTGGTTACAGTCTTCTGGACCAGATGAAGTACTAATATAATATACTAAACCCAGAAGAAATGCATTTGTAGAAAAAAGTTTGGTTGGGAAGTGGGTGTAGGAAGGGAACCACACCCTGCTCTATATATAACAGTATCATTTAACAACACAGTAGTAGGTCTACAATATTGACATCACAATATTAATGAATTGTACTTCTCTAATCCAGTAAATTTACAATTAACTGTTAAAAAAATACTGTGGAATGAATGAAGTATGAAAATAATCATATTTTAAACATAATTATAATATTTCTCCGTTTATTTTGGCAAATTCTTTGACAGAAAAGTTGTGTTTTTTGGGTTTTTGGCATATGCTCTTTTCCACAAATTTCCAGGTTTTCCTCACCAGGTTTCAGAGTCAGCTTTCACTAAAACTTCCCCCTCGCCTGCCCCCAACACTCCCCTCTGGTCAGTACAGCAGTGCTGAGTAGGAATGTTACATGCTTACTGCTACTGCAATTTCCAGATTATTTAGCTGACAAATGCTAATAAAACTCTATAGCACCTGTAAAAACAGATTTTTTTTTTTTTAAAGACTTGTAATACAGCCACATTTACATAAATTTCCATTAAAACCCAACAAATTTCTGATTAAAGGCAATACCTACCGATCTCTTTCCTTTCTCCACAGGTATAATCCCACATTTTGAATCAATACTCTACTGCTTCTAACAGGTAGACAGAAACTTTTGTAACTTTTTTTTCTTTTTCTTAAAACACAACATTTGGGCTGTTAACAGCAATTTACTGAGACATTCTACATGAAAAAGTCTCACCACAGAAAAGTTCAGCATCAGTGCAAAATCTGTCAGAGCTATATAAAATTGTATTGCTGATTGATATAATGGGAAGCACCAAGCAATCATACTACGAGCAGTTCTACAAGCTCCACAGATTAGACAGTACTACAATAACCATGTAGCAAAGCAAAGTTCAATTTATCAAATCAGTTTAGGAATTTAGCTACATGAAGTTGCACCTTACAGCTTTAAAACTGACGGAAACAAAACTAAAGGGCAGCAACAGGTTTCACGCTCCAACAAAAACCACCCCTCATCAAAATCAAAACTAATCCTCGTATTCCCAGCTGCAGATGAACAGCACAGTTACAGTTATAAAAACAGATACATGCTTAACTTCCTTTATAAAAACTTACCCAAAATGTGTTTGCAAACAGCAAAGGGTGATTTTGATTTTCTAAATGATAAGAATATGTGCTCGGCATGTTGGCGTTGTTCATTATTAACCATGGAAGGTGGTGCCTGAAAGAAAAGGAAAAACAGAAGTTATCCAAGTACTAAAAACCAATCCCAGTTGTAAATATTCATTAGCAATGTCATAAACCTATACATATTTGCCTTTTTAAACATCAAAACCAAGTATCTCTTGGTAAAACTGATTGTTCTTTCTCAATCATGGCCTCCTCTTGTATACCACTGTGTAATTTATATCATGTGCACATTAAGTGTGAATATTGAGACATCAGGCAGAGAGTATTATGTTCCTAATGATGGTTCTGAAAAAAGATGAGTCAGACCTAAATTCAACCCAATCTTTTTTCTACTCAAACCAAAATCATCACTGAACGTCACTAAATGTTGCTAAACACACGCACAGTCGCAGAAACAAAGCACTTTTTTCTTAATTCTGTATTTGTTTTAAAAGATTGAACTGTATAATAAATTCAAGGGATTAAAAAATCATCACTACAGCTATGTTCTAAAATAAAGTATCGACAGTAACATACCACCCTCTAGTGTTTCACATTAAAGCTGACATCTGAAGGACTGCGTGAGGGCTTGAATTTGAGAGAAGAGTCAGCTCGTTTGGGGATGGCCACAGCAGTTCCCCAGTTGCCCACATCCATCCCCTTACATACCCATCCCCTTACACCCCCATTCCCTTACACCATGGGCATCTTAACTGCTCAGGTAGCACCTGCTGCTCCACCACTGCTGAAAGCCAGCTCCAGAGTGGCTTCCACCTGAAAATCAACTATAGGTAAAGGATGAAACTACATGGCATCCTGGACCATTGCGAGGTGGGATATCTGCCGACGCAGTGCAGATGAGAGTTAACTGCCTACACTGCAGCCTCACCTCACAGAGCAACCCTGAGATCCCCCCCACTGCCCCACAAGGTTAAAACAACCCTGTGGAAAACACCAGCTGCTCACAACACCACACTGCTCTCTACTTTTGCCAGTAATATTCTCCAATTTCTGTTATTTAGGATTTCTCTAAATAAGCACATGGCACAAAATACTCTTAGAGGGCACTGATACCACAAGGCAGCGTAAGCTGAACTGATGTGCCTTTGAGAAAGTAAAGTGCATGCATAGAAAGACTGCATAAAAACTACAGAGCCCAGTCAAGGTGACAGAGTAGGTTACTGAACCTCAGCTGAACTTCCAAACTTGAGTCCTGTCCCTGGCAATCCGAGGAGAATGTGTGTCACATACCTTCTGGTTTTGATTTATACCTGTGGCATTGGCAATAAAAGTATGAAGATGTTGGCATAAAGACCAAGGTATTTAACTTAAGATAAATATATCCCAGTAAATAAAATATACCAAATCTGATTTAATTTGTTCATATTTGACAAAAAACAGACAACAGAAGATTCAAATATGATCTTATAACACCACAGATTAAAGCTGCTGCTCATCAACCATTTCCTCAATAATCTGACTAAATGAAGCAAAGGAAAGCAAGATGTTGATCCTCAGATCAAGGGTGTCCTAATACACAGCCATGCTCCTTACACAGCAAATTTCTGACTCTCACAATTTCTCCTGTGCAGATACTACAAATGCCTTGGGAAGGGATTAAAAATAGAAGTGTAGGAAGGTGGCTGTCAAAATGTCCCCTGGTTGCAAAATAAATGCTCTGTCCCTTCACAAATCTGCTCTGTGACACCCAGTTCTGGGCAGGACCTCCCTGGACAGCGATTTGAATGCATACAGGACAGCTGAACCTTACCAGCTCTGCAGACAAATCACAATGTTTGTCCATATCCCTGCCTGGGCAGGAGGCAGGACACGTTGGGTGGCGTACCCACGCAGACAGCAGCGTGCCTTCAGTTCAAGTGTCCTCCATGTGCTTGGAGCAGCATCTCAGGGTGTAAGTCAGCAGGCTGCACACCGATGCACACACAGAAAAGCTTTCGGATATTTGGAGCACTGCACACTGCTGAACAACCGGCACAGAAGCTCACTCCACGGTGATACCCAAATCCTTCCAGGACACTGAGCTTCAGCAGACTCCAACCCAATGCAGAAATCCAAACTTTTAATAACTTTTCAAGCAAAGTTAAACTTGTAAAGAAGCAGCCTCACTAATTTGGATACATCACACTTCCATGATAAAAGCTCCACTCTTCTGCATGGAGGCAGCCATCAGCAGGAGCTGTTCCCAACCGCCCATGCTTTCTGCAGCCTGAAGGACAGTACTTCTCTGTGTAGACTCTAGCTACTTTCACTGCAACAGAGCCAGCTGTACTGAATGCCAGAGTATTTGGAGCAGGTTATCCAAAACACAGGAACTACTTATACAGCCACAGCTTGACAAGCTATCGCAAATAAACCAAAGCAAACAAACAAAAAAGCAGTCTTCCCTTGTTTCCCATTGCATGGGCAAGCACTTCTGCAAACGCCCCGACTGGGGAAGTGATCACCAAAGAGCATCTCGCCAAAGGCAGGTTATTTTCATCTGGATCACTCCCTCAGCCTGGTTCACCATAAGCTAGCACAGAAGCCTGTGCCAGCACAGCACATAATGGCTGGTGACATTGGCTGCTTTTTTCAGCACAATTACAATTTAAATTGCCTTTAATCTACAGCTTCTGTTGCTTTGCAATGTCATGGGAATACTCTGCAGTCTCAAGGAAGTCAACGGGTCGACTTGGTCAATGAAGTTTCGTGAGAACTAAGAACAAAATTTCTTGAGACTTTTAATAAGTCAAGTGACTCCTTCCTTGCTCTCACCTGCACGGTCTTGTCACCTCCCTGCATTATCCGATCTATCAACTACCTCAAAAACAACAACCAAAAAAAAAAACCAAACCCCCCCCCAAAAAAACAAAAAAAAAAAAAAGAGAGAAGGCAAGGGGAATGAACACTTTTTTTAGTTTAAAAAAGCATCAAGAATTCAGATAAGTGCAAGAGCCAGTGCAACTACGGGGAGAAAAAGAGTGGATTGACATTACCCTTCAGCAGTACTGACCTTGCAGCTGACAGCTCCACAGTCCCTGAAGCTTCACTAATTACAGCCAAGTCAGAAGGAATCCTTTGGGTATGACAAAGTGTAACATTTTGCAAGTCTGGGGTCATTTATATTCACATTCATAGGGCAAGAAGAGCAAACAGGGCTACCTGATCTTGAACTAATTTTGTATTAACAAATCATATTTGAGTTTGGCATATAGATATCATATCTATTTTCAGTTTTCTATAATACTTAAGGGCACTTCCAGGGACATTAGCAGAAAATTATGGCACCATTGAAAAAAGACAGGAGTAAAGTTTTATGGGAAATACCCCCTTATGCTCACAATAACTAGAAGAGAGACCTCTAACTTTACATTATTTTAACTCTTCTGCTTCTCTGAAGTCTGATTATAAAGGCCTTTGGCACCTTGCAAAGGCATACAGCACATCATATTCCTGTATTGATTTTTGAAATAATAATAATTTAACAATATATTATGGACTTAGTTTCTCAGAACAGACAAGTGCAACAGGCAAGCTTTAAACCAGATATACAGAGCCACCAGAGGGAGCTTAAAGCTCACAGTCTGCTGCTTTCTGTGCATTCAAACAGTAGTGATCTGTACCCTGCAACTCCAGCTCATTTAAGACTTTAAAGAAAACCCCAGTATATACATATATTGTGGACAAATTTCACATTACAAGGACACTGGCTTTGGCGAGCCCAAGAGCCCTGGAAGCCAGAGCCCAGCACCCTCTCAGCACAACAGGGTTAGAAACGTACCCCAAGTACTCACTGCTCTTGGAAGGTCCCCACAAAATACCTTCTGTTTACTTCCTAATTGTGTCCTTCAAACTCTTAGAATCATAGAATGGTTTGGGTTGG